TCAAATGTAGAGCCAACCCGGAGCACACAGTGTGACATCTCAGTAAACTAGCCAAAAAGCCCCATTATGCTATGAAAACAGTGCACGCTAGCAAGAGCTTGTGTTTGTCAAGCACAGGGCCCACTCAAGAAATTAGAATTCAGGTTGGGGATATAGCTTAGCGGCACAAGTACCTGCCTGGCAGCACAAGGTCCTGAGTTTGATTTCCAATACAAAAAAAAAAAAAAGAAAGGAAAAAGAAATGAGAATTCTTATCTTCAGCAGCCCACAGGGCACAACACCAACTTTGTTATAAAGGCACATTATTGTGGGTGTATAATACCCATGGGTATTCTTTACAATATTTCTACTGAATTATTAATTTTAATTTTATGAGTTTTTTGTGCTAAACAATACTTAACAGAAAAAAAATTAAAAGTATTGAATTTTTAATTTATTGAATGTTTATAAAAAAGCATTAAAATTTTCAACATCAACTGTTTTTTGTTGTACAAAGTCTAAAAAATAACAACAGAAATAAATTCCTGTATGATCTACAAAGAAAATATCAGTAAAACTCTACAAAAAGTCTTTACTTCAAGTATCACACCTAATGCAGTCTTTTTTTTCTTTTTGTCTTTTCGAGACAGGGTCTTGCTATGCAGTTCAGGCTGACCTTGAGCTCACTTTGTAGCCCAGGCTGGCCTTGAACTCGCAACGACCCTCCTGCCTTAGCCTCCCAAGTGCTGAGATTACAGGCATGCGCCACCATGCCCGGCCTAATGCAGTCTTTTTGAGATAGGGTTTTACTATGCAGTTCAGGCTGGCCTCAAATTCACAGCAATCCTCCAGCCTCAGCCTCCCAAGTGCTGGGATTAAACGTGTGCACCATAACACCTGACTCCTGAGGCAGTCTTCACAACTGACAACAGTACATCCCATACACAGCACATTCCATACACAAGTCTTGCTTACACTGACAGCACATGTGCTTAGCTTTCCTTTGCTATGTGGCAGGCCATTCTTGTCACCTCTTGTCTTCCCGTTCTATTAGAAGCTTCCTACTATATTATATAATGTGCACTTAGCAGGAAAATAACAATAAAATATCAAATATGTAATGAGTGCTTAGAATAGACATCATTTTCACATCAGCTGCTCACCTGTTTACAAAACCTAAAAGATAAAGAAATACTTATGTGAGCCAGGTGTGGTAGCACACACCTGTAATCCCAGCACAAGGGAGGCTGAGGCAGGACTATTGCCATGAGTTTGAGGCCAGCCTGGGCTACGAAGTGAATTCAAGGCCAGCCTGAAATGCATGGTGAAACTCTGTCTCAAAAAGACAAAAAAGAAAACCTATGTGAACTACAATGTAAGTACAAGCAAAAGTCTTACCACAGAAATAATCTTTGTTGCCAGGATATAGCTCAGTGGCACAGCGCCTGCCTGGCAAGCACAAGGTTCTGAGTTTCATTCCTGGTACCCCCCCCGCAAAAAAAATCTTCACTTCAACTGTCCCACCCAAGGCCGTCTTCACATGTGAAAACTGCATGTTCCATACACAAGCATCACATTTATAGCACACATGCTTTGTTTTCCTGTTGTTGTAGTAGGTCTTTGTGATGCTTGTCTGCCTGTTCACCTGTCAGCTCCCCCGTGTGCTCCACAATTTTTTTGCATAGTCCCCTGGGCAGAAACATTTTGTTTTTCCTCTGCTATAGATGATCTCTTATGGGTGCCAGTCCCAATCTTCTAAGAACATTTCTCTGTTATTTTGCACTTGTTATTTTCTTTGTAAACTATCAAACTATTTATGTCACGTTTAAGACTGAGTAAAACACAACCATTGGCCAACACTTTGTGTTTCAAGTAACATCGTAGTTGCTGCACAACTCATCGACATCTACTCCATCTTTGGTTTTGTTGTAGAAAGTTATCACTGCAGGCTTCTGTTTTGTCAAGGTTTCCCTATCAGTATTTCCATCATGGTGCAATAGTGACATCAGCAGTACGTTCTTCTTTGCCATATACGAGGCCAATGTTGTATCTTTCTGAAACCCAAAGATTGTACTATTCAACTGTCTTGAAATTGTAACATTTCAATTTCTGCTTTGTTCCTGTGTAGTTCCTGTATTGGTCAACCTATGCTGTTAGCAAATGTAACATTAATTGTAAAATGAATCAACTGTCTAGTGCCACAGTCCACTTTGGGAGATGGGAGCAACACATCTGTTTACAACATCATTTGGTTTATTACTGTATGAGTAAGAACTGGGTAGCTGTGTTCCAGAATAAAAAATTGAAAGCATAAGTCTTTCCATCTACAAGGGCATACATTTTTATTCCATATCTTGGTTTTGGAGAATATACTGCCTGAAGCTCAGTGACCATGAAATGCTGCAAGATGTTCATTAATAGTCATGCGTCAGGGGCTGGGGATTTAGCTCAGTGGCATAGTGCCCGCCTGGCAAGTGCAAGGTAGTGAGTTCGATTCCCAGTACCGGAAAAACAAAACAAAACAAAACAAAAAATAGCCATGTGTCAGATGGTATGTAAATTTCTTGTCAATTTTCCATAAATCTCCTAAACCTTGAGCAGATAGCCAGATTATCAGTTCTTTTGCTCTCTTGGCAGTGGTTTTGTCATCAAACCCCAGCCAGTTTTGAAGTAAACCAAATCTCCTTAGTGTAATTGTTATTCTACAAACCTTAAGCCCACACTCAGCACTTTTCCATAAGTCTTTTACATTCCTATTACCAGTGGAAAGCCCGGCTAAGTATAGCAGACCTATGAAAGCTTTCAGTTCAGCTAGTGAGGAGTCATGATAAATACATTTCTGAATATGGCTATTGGTGCACACAGAACATTCTACTTGTATTTCATCATGTGTGTATTTCACATCTTGTAGCATTTTGTCTGTTACAAACAACTTCCAACATTGAATGGCAGTGCTGGCATTCCATCCAATAGGTTTTATCCCTGCCAAGGTCCTCACTATATTTTTAGACCAAGTTCTAATGTTGGATAGTTCCACCTGGTTGTGTAACCATTTTGTACCATTTCTAATAGTCAAATATGTACTCATATTGCTACTTTATCATCTGAGTCGAGGAGGTCTGCATTCCTTGTGTCTGTATCAGTTGATTCTTGCTCCATTTCACTGACACAGGAATTGGGGTCACATGACCAAGATCAAAATCATTATCATTTTCACCATCCACATATGAATGATCTGATAAGCTAGGTGTAGTAGCACACACCTGTAATCCCAGCACTCAGAAGGCTCAGACAGGAGGATCATTGCAAGTTCGAGACCACCCTGAGCTACAAAGTGAGCTCAAAGTCAGTCTGAACTATATATCAAGACCCTGTCTCAAACACACACACACACACACACACACACACACACACACACAAAGGAACGACCTGATTCACTTTCAACCTCTAAAACTTGCAAATCTGGTTTTTCGTGTGCCATTGTACTGAACTGGGGTGTTTCTATCAGAAAAATCAAAGAAAACTTTTTAAAAAACAAATCCTAAATGCAGCTATTTAGCAATAAGCATTTCATAGGTAAATCTTACCTGTTACTGCTTTGGATCTCCTGTAGACACCTTGCTCTTCAAGTGGGTGAATGCACAGGTAGGTTTCTCCTTTTACCAGTTGTGGCTATCATAGCCACACTCCATTATGGTGAAATATGTTTACACAACAGAAGAGTGGTGTGAGTGTATTTTACCCCCTCTGGTGCTCAGGCAGACATATGCAAAACCTATTAGATGAGCATTATGTAGGTTAATATCCGTTTGACACTTTTGCCACACACCTTGTAGTTCATAGTACCAAGTGGATAAACACAAAGATTGCTTCCTGTATCCCCTAGGTGCAGCTAGTGAGATGCACAGCCAGCTACTATCATGCTAAAGTACAAATTTATAGTGGAAAAGTATGGGATGGACTGCTGTAACCTAGTATTATGTTTCACTTAAGATTTATCCATGTGTGTTCCCAGCTTTTGGATTATTCCCACTTAGAACTGTGTGAGGACAGTGGGACTTCTACATCAAAAGTTTTGGACATGACTTATGTTGGATCTCACAGGTACCAATTTGCTCAAAGCACTACAATTGCCTATACAAGCAGATCCTGCTTCACAGGACACAAAAGCTGGGCTATGTCTTGGGTCTGATTTAGCAGAAAAAATTCCCCTCCACCAGCAATCATGACTCTGCCCTTGAAACCAGGTCCAGCTTTTCAACAGACCCATATTCTAGAGTATGTATGAAATCTTTGAAGAATGCATGCAGGCTGGGTATGACAATATACGCCTGTAATCCCAGCACCTAGGAGGCTGACGCAAGAGAATTACAGCAAGTTAAAGGCCAGCCTGGGCTACACAGTGAGTTCAAGGCCAGCCCAAACCACATAGAGACTGTCTCAAAAAAAAAGAAAAAAAAAAGAAGTGCATGCAGGGCGGTGTGTGCACGCACGTGCGCTTGTCATCCCAGCTACTTGGGAAGCTGAGGTCAGAGGTGTGAAGCCAGCTTGGGCAGTTCAGCTGGACCTTGTCTCAAAATAAAACTAAAAAGACAATGCAGACAGTAATCCTGGACACAAGGTCAGACCTGTAATTCAGCTCTCCAAGATGGTGTGTCACAGCCAAGGAAGAGCTAGCAGCAGTGATCAGGCTGGTGGCACCACGCACCTTTCCTCCCTGTTCCATGCCTCCTTTATTCTCACAGATTCACTTTCTATCTCTTTTGGTCACACGCCCACAAGTTACAGTGCTTGAAGTGTCATTTTAGGTGTGCTTGTTAATTTATGGCAGGGACCAGGACAAGGCACCATTAACACATCACACACAAATGTTTGGCCAGTGCTTCTCAGTAACTTTCAATAAATAAGAGGGCCAGTTTGCACCACCCAGAGAGACTGGGAGCCTCTTTACAGAACGATACAGCCCCTGAATGTCTTGTGACACTACACCGAAGTCAAAAAGGAACCATCACGCAACTGTGTTCCGTTATAAAAATTTATCAAAATAATCATGAGTTTTTAAGAGACTTGATTTAGCAAGGTAAAAGAGGACTTAAAAAATATTAAAACAATGTAAATTTTTTTAAACCCACCAAGCAGAACTAAATTAAATAAATCCTTCAGCTTTTCTGTATCAGAAAAGTTGATTTCTAAGCTGTACTGTCACCTCACTGCTTTGCAACCCTAGGAACTAAACTGCTCTCCAGATGGCTCCTCTGCAAGCCAGCAAGTTACATCCTGGCAGGTCAGGTGCACCAAAAGCAAGGTCTGTGATATGGAACAGGACTATACAATTCAGGGTCCAACCAGGATACTTGGGGGAGGGGGAGTTGGTGGGGAGCAAACCCAAGGCCTTACACATGCTAGGCAGGTGCTCTACCTTTGAGTCACACCCAGCCCCAAAACACTTGAAAATAAAAGGGTCTTGTTAATTACTTGAGAAATAAAGGCATAAAAATGAGACCTGGTGGGTATATGGTGGTGTGTAAAAATAATCCCAGCTACTCCAGAGACTGAAGAGGGAGGACTGGTGGAGTCCAGGCAGTCAAGGCCAGATTGGGCAACACACCCTCCCACCTGAAGAGGGAAAGGGCTACCCAGTGGTAAGGCAGGTGGGAAACTACATTTCCCAGTATGCCCTGCTGCTTGGCCAACATAAAGCACCCAGGGACCTGTGGTTAGCACCATTTGCGAGGTAAACAATCCAGGGCTGGGTTCAACACAAAGACTTCCCCTTCTATAGGATACTTAATCAGACATGAAACACAAGAGCGAGGTGAAATTGCAATGGCTATTGAGTCTGGGGTGGAGCCTCTCTCCCCAACAATTCCAGCTTCCCCAGGTATGCTTGGTTATGTGTAGGGGGGCTGTTGCCCATTCTCCTGGGTGCTGCTTCTGCTGCTCCACAGTTGCTAGTTTTTTGGGGGATTCTGGGCCAGGTGCTGTTCCCACTCAACTTCAACCAACTTGTACAGCTCCATAGTGGCCTGGGCATCTTCCACGGAAGAGTGTCCACCTTTTCCAGCCTGAACAGGGAGGAAGAGAAAAGGCTGAACCCACACGAACTTTTCCCTTCCCAACCAACACTGCTCCCTTCATCCTGCCACCCCACAGTGTTTCTTCTGCAGTCAGTGAGCTCCAGAGACAGAGTTCTGGTGGGTTCCATTCACCACCTAATTCAGGGCTCTAACTCCTAAGACTTTGCCTCTGCCTGCCTCGATTCTTTCTGTGGCAGCATATGGATACCCTACTAGCCTAAGTTCTACAGAGACAGAACACACCAGACCAAAGGCAGGACTCCTAAGTCTTCTACCCTTCCCAGCTCCTCAACTGCCTTCTACAGGGCATGCATCTACAACTTCCTAACTGGCACTCCCTCTCTGAACAGGGCATGTGAAATGCCTGAGTGGTCCTTAAACTACTGTGTTCTTTTAGGCCACCCCGACTACCTGCTTTCCTTTTTCTTTTTAGAGCAAGACAAGGCCTTGCTATATAGTTTAGGCTTGTCTTGAGCTCACTATATAACCCAAGTTGACATAAAACCTGCAGTGATTACCCGTCTCAGACTCCTGAGTGCTGGGATTACATGTATGCACCAGCATGCTGGCTTTCTTTCCTTCAGGGGTTTATACCTGCTTTGGGTTAATCTTTCTTTTCCAAAGTATCATTTAGAATGTTCCATGAGGAAGACTAAAAGTACTCATTCTCCCTCCATATAGAAAGAGACTCCTGGGCCCCTTAGCTCAAAGCTGTGTCCACCAGAGCAGCCATGTGGTGCTCTACAGCCAAAAGACTTCTGGGTCAGAGCCTGCAGAGGCAGCAGGAAGAACTCATGTGCCACAGGGGCGTGTGGGGTGACACTCAGGGAGAAGCTACCTGGATGTCCCGGCTCAGCAGCTTCTTGGTGAGAGTCTTGAGAGACATGGTGGTATTCTCTGGGCAGCCTGCCTTACGATTGAGGAGGGGGATTTGGGAGGTGTCTCTGGTGAGGGGCTTGGGGTGAAAGTACTGCAGGGCTTTGAAGTCATTGTGGATGGCATGTCCCACTACGATCTTTCCGGCAAGGATCTTCAAGATCTGGAATAGGTAGCGGAGAGGAGGTGAGAAGTCAGACTCAGATGTGGACCCTGAGATCCAGAAAGCTGCCCATGGCCATCAATACCTCTGGTTTCTCTGCACCAAAACCTACCTGCCTCATTCTTGAAATGCCCTAACAAGTTTTCTTTCTCCTAAAATCTACTTCCTCTTCCCCAGGGTAGAAGTAGATAATTTCCATGTGCAACTTTATTACTTGGATCTGTAATGACAATAACTCACCCTTTTTAAAATTATTTTTTTGTAGTGCTGGGGAAATTGAACCCAGGGAACACTGAGCTACACCCCCAGACTTCCAAAATCTTGAGACAGGGCCAAGCGTGGTGGCACATTCCTATAATCCCAGCACTCAGGGTGCTGAGGTTGAGGCAAGAGGATCGCTGTGAATTCAAGGCCAGCCTAGGCTATATAGTGAGCCTGGACTACATAGTGAGACCCTGTCTCAGAAAACAAAATAAAACAAAAAATCTGAGACAGGGTCTAAGTTGCCCAGACTGGTTTCGAACCTGTCGTCCTCCTGCCTTGGCTTCCTGAGTACCTGAGATAATAGGTGAGTGCCACAATGCCCAGGTGTTCCTTACCTTCTTATTAATTTCAATCCCAATGATAGATTAATTTTCCTTTTGTCCTAAATTGAATTTACACTTAAGATTTGACGCATTTCTGTAATTCCAGCACTCAGGAGGCTGAGGCTGAAGGATTATGAGTTCAAGGCCAGCCTGAGCTATACTGAGCCCTTATCTAAAACAAAAAAACAAAACAAAACAAAACAAAAAATAAAATAAAATAAAACAAAAAAGATGCTCACATATGCAGTTCAGTTTTTTTTTTTTTTTTTTTTTTTGGTTTTTCTTCGGTACCGGGAACCGAACTCACGACCTTGCGCTTGCCAGGCAGGCGCTTTTGCCGCTGAGCTAAATCCCCAGCCCCCAGCCCCGCAGTTCAGTTCTGACTCGCGACTTTAAGTCCTTTATCATCATGTTAGCCTTACACATGTGACTGGAACCCATGAAATGAAGGATGGGTTCCGAGGTAACAGAAGCCCCAGATGAAATGCACCTAAATGTGTGGTTACTTTTGGGGAAAGAGCCTATGTTTTTCATCAGACTCTCAAAGAACTCCAAACCATAAAAGATGAAGTCACTTAAAGACTAAAGCTGCACAGGAGACCTTACACTAGTCTTGGAGCCAAATAACAGCTCACCATTTGAGGATCATACTGCATGAAGACTACCAGTGAGTTCAAAGAATACATCATGGGCTCCAAAGGCTGTTCCCAAAATGGTGTTCCCAAAAGCCTGTACAGAAAGTTATAGTGCTATATGGCCTCCCAATGGGATGCCCTCAAAGAAATCATATTCATCTGGACATACTATTTCATAACCCTGTGTACTGGTCAAGTGCCTTATGTTGAAAACCAGCTATACTCCAGTCAACCAAAGTATTTAGTTGCTCTTGACCTGACCTGCAGTTTACTGTCCATCAATACCTTGATTTCACAAGATTCAATTTCTGGCTTGAGGTAATCTGCTATCTCAAACCCATCCCATCTTCTGCCTCTCCCAAGTCTCTATTCAGCTTCCCCCTGTGCTCAGGATATCCTTCCACTCTTGTCTAATAGCCAGCTGCTTTGCCTCTGATCAATCTCCCAACGGTCTGGCCTGTGCTATAAGGAAGCACAGAGAATCCAGATTAAGTAGTGTGAGCTAAACTGCAACGGCATGGATCAGCGGCGCCCTCTGGTGGCCTCCTAAGGCCAGCTGGCTCTCCTCTTGCTCTTTCTCCCCCCTTTTAGAGCTCACCTCCCTTTCTTGTTCATTTGTTATGCTCCAAAATCCCGCAGAAGGTTAGAATGAATAGGTTAGCTCAGTAAGTGAGGTGAGAACCGCGACCTACCCAGTCCTGTGCCTTCTATGTCCTTTGCTACAGGCCAGTTATCCCAGGTATACAAACATGCTTCAGCTCTATCAACTTTCTGACCTCTCCTACCTCTTGTCCCAGGTTACCTTTTGTTTGGGAAGCCCTCTCCATCTCCCTTCTCAATCCTAGGCTCTCATTCTGTAAGGCAGTGATGGTGAACCTTTTCAGAGCTTTCAGTGATACAAACAGCCCACAGTGGCACACATGCCATAGATTCACCACCACTGCTATAAGGCATTTCCAAACGAAGCCCTTTCCCAACCCTCATGCCTGTGTTCTCCCAGTTTTATCACTGGCTTTTGTTTCTCTATACATACTGCTAGTCTCCAGCTCAGTTCCACTAAATTCCAAAATGTTTTTTTCTTTTTTTGGAGACAGGGTCACACCATGTAGCTCAGGCTGGCCTTGAACTATGTAGCCAGGCTGGCCTCAAATTCAGTGATCCTCTTGCCTCAGCCTCCCTGAATATACAGATTACAGGTACCTAACACCTTGACATACACTTTCACCACTCTTTACCCCAACAGGAGGCCTTAATCATCTGATATTCTGCTCCCCCACAATCTTTTGACACCGTTTCAGGATGACACCCACTGCTGGAAAAAGTCTCTCCATCCAGCTGTCATTGTCATCATCATGCTCCATAATCCTCACCTGGCTCCGAGCAGTCTTAAAGGGTGTAGCCTTCACCATGTGCTGCTTACGGATACCACTCCACCTGGTCCGGTAGTCCACAATGGGGCAGGGGGGAAGGACATACTCATCATAAAGCACATCTCCATCATAGTTAACAATACTACACCGAGCCAAGGAACTAACGTGCCCCTTGGGGCCTGTGCCCACCATCTCACAGTCAACTGCCACCATCTTCCCTGGTTTCCATGAAGCACCAGAGCATACACTCTTTGAGTGGGCTTGGGTGGAATTCTGTGTGACACTGTTCTCAGGGGGCTTCTGAGGGGGCTTCTTCTGAGGGATCTTCTTCTGGGAGCGAGCTGGAGGGCTCTTAATCTTTGGAAGGGCACTCTGGAACTCCCCCAGCAAATCTACTTTACCCACAACAGAATCAGTCTTGTTTGAAGGAGCAGGGGTCAGCCAAGACACTGTAGCTTTCTTGCGGAGGGACTGCTCTGACCCATTGCTGGAGGCAGTTGTCTTCTTTTTTCGCAGAGAATCGATCTTCCCAGTGCCATCGACTCTCAGAGTTTCCCCTTTCTTTGTAGGTTCTGAGTGTGGTTTAGGCACCTTACTAGAACGTTGGTTCTTTTTATTAAGAAAACCTCTCTGTTCCAAGAGCCTTCGCCTCTTGACAAAACTTCTATGCTTGGCATTTCCTTCTAATGACTTTTTGAGAGGAGATTCGGCAAAATCCAGATTCAAGAGTAAAGTAGACATGAGGACAGCAAATGGTGGGAGTGCAGTTGGGAAGAGTGGCTTACGGATGACAGCAGGATGATATTCTCATTTTCTACTGAGTCCCATTGTCTAACAGTCTGTAGAAAACCCTGAGAAGAGTGATCCTAGTAACTGTACCCACAGGCCTAAGGGAAAATGAGAAAAGATCCATTTCTGTAAGATTTAAGGCAAGAAAGTCACCAAAACAACCTGCCAGAGAGACAGGGAAATGAAATGATGCAATGCATTCGAAGGTAAACAAAATATGGATTTTAGCAGAGCCCCACAGTTCAGTAGACTTAGGAAAGTCATTCTCCTTTCTGGGCCTCAGTCTCAATTATAAAATGCAGGAGCTGGGGATGGGGATGTAGTTCAGTAGGAGACTGTGTGTTCAACATGAGTAAGGACCCGAGTTCCATCACCAACACCAAAAAAAAAAAAGGATCCAGGTGCCGCACTCTAGGAAGCTGAGGCAGGAGAATTACAAGTTCAATGCCAGCCTAGTAAAACCCTGTCTGGAAAAAAAAAAAAAAAAAAGGAGGGGCGCTGGGGCGGTAGGACGGTGTGGAGGCCCTGGGTTCAATCCCTAGTACCGCCACTCAAATTCCGCGGGGTTGTGGGGGCGGGAGGGCCCACTGAGTTCCATTCTCATTCTCGTAAGGTCTAGAAGCCAGAAGAGGTGAGCTGGCATCTGCCTACAGAGAATGTCCAAGCGAGCTCCAAAGCAGTGAGGGATACAGCACAGGTGGCATCCGCAGCGCGGGCCCCAAGAATAGGAACCCAGGCACCCTCTCTCTCGGCTCCGCACGATTTGTGGAGTGTAACCGCCGCACGCACCTCACCCACGTCCTCCCAAGCAAAGACCTTTGACACCTACCAGAGGCGCGAAGTGAGGGAGATCGGAAGTCAAGGTGGCCCACCTCGCAAGCACACTTTTGACGGTTCTCGTGATGGGGACAGTTCGCCAGGCCCACAGGCCTACCTCCTGGACTGTCCCCACTACGAACGGAAGCGTCCCGAGCCGGATACAGAAACCGGAGCGCGCCGTCGGGCCCCGGGCCGGCAGGCGCGCGGATGGGAACGTGCTGGGGGCCGGCGCGCACGCGCCCGAAGCGCCCCCACTTCCGGCAGCGACACCAAGGATTCTGAGTGTATGAGGACCGGCAGCGGCGGAGGCGGTGGCGGAGGCGTGGGTGGGGGCGGGGGCGGGATACGCTCCCCGGCCCCTCTAGCCCCGTGGAGGTACAACTCGAAGGTGGGGTAGGCCACGAGAAACCGGAACTGCAGAGCGCCGGGGACCGGCCCCACTTCCGGCAGAGGAGGGCCGTGGGAGGGAAGACGCTGGAGCAGGAATTTGGCCCGCCCTGTCTTCGGACCGGCGCCACCTTGCGTCTCTGTGACGTCACTGCGCTGTCACTGCCCTCAGTGACTCGGACGCCGGCACCTGTGGACTGTAGGCTCCGCGACTTGTAACCTCAAACCAGGTTGCTGGCGCGCCTACTGTGGTATTTTCAGTCCGGAGTATGGTTTCCCACCAAGGCAGCATCGGGGACCGGGCTTAGAACTTTCCGTTCTGCTGAAGGAGCTGAGCCCAACCCGGGTCCTGCGTGGTACTTACCCTGGATCCCACCCAGCTCACCGCGTCCTCGCTCCCCGTGCCACCGGTTGGAACTCGGGATGCCGGGCGTCTCCGCCCGGAGCCTCTCCCTCGAGGAGCGGAGGCAGCTAGCTGTGAACCTCACCCGTGTCCTGGCACTGTACCGTTCCATTCTGGACGCCTACATCATCGTGAGGCCACAGGGTCGTGGGCGGGCTGCTTCTTCTGGTCGTGTGGTTGCCTGGGTGCTCGTGACAGGGAATTTACCATTGATCTTTCTTGAGTTGTAAGTCATTCCAGAAGAAAAGTTAAAAAGAGGGTGATTCCCTTTTTCCGCTAATAGGTTGTTTTCTAACTTTCTCAGAACCTAAGGTAATACAAGCATGGTATGTTTGTTTTGAGACAGGGTTTCGATACGCAGTTCAGCCTGGCCTTGAACTTACTGTGTAGCCCAGGCTGGCCTCGAACTCGCTGTGATCCTTCTGCCGCAGCTTCCTGGATGCGGGGATCATAGGCGTGCACCTCCACGCCTGGCCAAAACATGGACTTTTGAGTTGTACTGCGGTTAACATAGAATTCTCCTAGGACTATATGAGGTGTTCCAGTAAAACACATGTTGATTCATTCTAACTCACTTTATTTTTTTGTGGACAGTTTAGTTTTAGAATCAGAGTGGAATCTTGCCTCCTCTACTGTGTTAATAGGTGTCCCCCCGCTTCATTCCAGTCCCCAGTTTCAACTATAAAATGGATCCCTATCTGAAGGATCATTGCTAATAAATGAGATAATGTATAAATGGCTGAATTATTCAGGTTGAATTATTGCGATTGAAGTATTCAGATCCCATACCCAGAAACTACCCTCGATTCAGCTCTTTCTTTCATGCATCCGCAGTCCAGTTCCTCAAGTCCTCTTGGCTTTACCCTCATACTAGACCCCAGATTTATTCGTCTTAACCTCCAATGCGTAGATTTTTTTTCTTTCTTTCTTTTTTTTTTTTTGGTACTGGGAATCGAATTCAGGACCTTGCACTTGCCAGGCAGGTACTTGTGCCGCTGAGCTATATCCCCAGCCCTTTAATCTCCATTGCTACCTCCGTGGGCCAAGCCTCCATCATCTTCCCTAAATTACTTACTCTCTGTTTACTGATGCCTGTCTGTAACCAGTGTTTCTCTGAGCAGCCAGATTGACGTCTTTCAAACATAAATCTTTTTATTTATTTATTTATATTTTTTTCAAACGTAAATCTTGTCACCTTATTATGACACTTCATTGCTTCCTAGGTGCTTTGATGAAATGCTAACTCCTTACTATATTGTTTATGTAGCCCTGCATAATGGGAGCTCTGCTGCTTCCTCATCCACATCAAATTTCATTTTCTTCCCACATTCACTCTGCCGTATTTATGCTGGTCTGATTTCTGTCCAAAAATATGGGAGGTGTCTGAGCCTTTGCATTTGTTGATCTGTCTGGAATAATCTTTCTCCACTGAAAGGCAATAGAGCAGATCAGTTAAGAGCAAGGATTCCTGATAAAATAGGTTTCACTTTCAAGCTCTTCTATTTTCTAGCTTTTTGAATTGGGCAGGTTAGTCAATTGCTGTCTTAGTTTTATCTGTAAAATGGAGGCTCAAAATAGAACCTATCTCATAGAGTTGTTTATTAAGTGTATTCATACATGTCAGATGTTTCCAACAGTGCCTGGCATAGAAAGTATTATGTGAATATTTGCTATTGCTCATAGTGTGTGTGTGTGTGTGTGTGTGTGTGTGAGAGAGAGAGAGAGAGAGAGAGAGAGAGAGAGACACTAAGGATTCAACGAAGAGCCTTCATGCTAAGCTAGTTAAATCTGTCGCCCTTTTTGTCTATATTTTTTATTTTTATTAGTACATGTTAGAAATGCATAATGATTACAATCATCATGGGGAGTTGGTACATGTATATATCTTAATTCTTCACTACATCCCTCTTTCTTCCATTTCTTGGTCCCCTTCCCATTTACTAAAGAGCTAACTCTTTGTTTCCTATTAGTCTGCCTTATTTTACTCTTTATTTATACATTGGGTTTCTCATGTAGAAGAAACCATGTGATATTTAAACTTGTGTATGAAGTTTATTTCATTTTTAACATTATGGTCTCAAAGTGCATCCATTTTCCTACAAAGGACTCAAATTTATCCTTCTTTGTAGCAGAGTAGTACTCCATTGTGTATAAATACCACATTTTTTTATCCATTCATCTGTTGATAGACATATATAGTCTGCTTCCAAGATTTAGCAATTATGAATCATGCTGCTATAAACATGGGTTTACATGTATCACTTTAATGTTTTTAATTCTTGGAAACATACCAGAAACAGGAGCTGTCATCCCATTTTCTGACATCCTCTCGATCTCCTTTTTTAGAGTACCTTAGTTTTTGTTATAGATGTCATTCACTTCATTAGGTTAATTCCTAAGTATTTAATTTTTCTTAAAGCTGTTGTGAATGATGTTTTCTTAAGTTCTTTCTTGGTAGGTACAGGAATCCTATTGTGTTTTTGTTGTTTTTTTGAGACAGGGTCTCACATTGTAGTTTGGGCTCACCCTGAACTCTCTATGTAGCCCATTCTAGCCTTGAATTCATGGGGATCCTCCTTCCTTACCCTCCCCAGTGCTGGGATTACAGGCGTGCGCCATCACACCTGGCTGGAGTCCTACTGATTTTTGTGTGTTGATGTTGTTTCCTGTTACCTTGCTGAATTTGTTAAGTTCTAGAAGTCATGGTGGAATTTTTTGGGTCTTCTATTTAAAGGATCATGTCATCCATGAACAAAGATAGTTTGACTTCTTCCTTTCCTATAAGTATCCCCTTTCGTTCTCTTGTCTGATTGTGCTGGCTAAAGTTTTAAGTACTGTATTGAATGGGAGTGGTGATAGTGGACATCCTTGTTTCGTTCCTGATTGTAAAGGACAGGCTTTCATTTTTCCTCATTAAATATGATGTGGTTTTTTTTGTTGTTGTTTTAAATTTATTTTAAAAATAAGGAAAACATTAACAGACATACATTTACAAAATAGCATAAGAAAAATACAAACAATACAGAGTTACAGAGTAGTAGGAAATTAACAGTGGTTGTTGTATTACGTATTGATATCTTCCAAGTGGTTTCTCAGGGAAACAAATAGAGACATGCAGGATTGATCAAACAAATAATCATTAACTGTTCCTTTCAGTAAAACAATAGAGCAACTATGTTAGCTCTCCTGTATATACATATAAATATGATGTTGATAGTAGGTTTATCATAAGTGGCTTTTTTTTTTTTTTTTAGACAGGGTCTCAGTATATAGTTCAGGCTGGTCTTGAACTCACTATATAGTCCAGGCTGGCCTCAAACTTGAGATGAACCTCCTGCTTTAGTCTGCTGAGTGCTGGGATTACAGGCATGCACCACCATGCCTGGCTTCTTCAGGGTTTTGTTTTGTTTTTTGTTTTTGAGACAGTCTCATCATATAGCCTAGGCTAGTCTCAAACTTGTGGCAGTTTGGCTGTGATCGCCCTCCTGAGTGCTAGGATTACAAGTGTGTGCCACCACGCCTGGTTTGTCTTTTCTTTTGTCTTTTCTTTTTTTTTTTTCTTTTGAATTTTCTTTACATGACTGATTCCTGTTCATCATCCAAGTCTTAACTAGTGTAAGTTCCTCAGCCAAGTCTTCCCTTACCACCCTATCTGAAGTAGTTCTCTAATAAACTCTGTATTACATAACTTTCCTAAGCGTTATATTGTCAGTGGTATTTGATGTTAGCTGAAATGATTTTATTATGATTATTATTTTGCATAGCTGAGGATCAAATTCAGGGCCTCACACACACTGGGAAAGCACTCTACCAGCACTACTACATCCCCAGCACATGAATTTTTTTTTAAATGTAAACTCTTGCAGGTATCTGTAAGATCAAGGGTCTTGTTTCTCTGAATCACTATTGTATCTCCTAAGCTGAGAATAGAGATTGGTGTAAAACCAAAACAAAGCCCCAGAACTTATGATGAGTAAATGAATGATTAAAAATAAATGTGTGTCAGCCAGACGTAGTGGTGTACACTTGTAATCCCAGCACTTGGGAGGCTGAGGCAGGAGAATCACAAGTTTGAGGCTAGCCTGGGCTACGTGGTGAGTTCAAGGTCAGACTGGACTATATAGCAAGACCCTGTCTCAAAAAAACAAAGCAATAGCCAGCATGGTGGTACATGTGCTGTAATCCTAGCACTTGGGAGGCTGAAGCAGGAGGATTACCATGAGTTCGAGATCAGCCTGGGCTACATAGTGAGTTCAAGGTCATCCTGAACTACATAGTGAGACTCTGTCTCAAATATATACATGTACATGTATACATATATGTATATACGTATGTGTGTGTCTGGCACATAAAATGGCAGGTTACAAAAATGATAATGTGCTAATACCGTGTATCAGTCACTATGGTAGTATTAGGAATGCGTATGTGAAGAAGACACCATTCCCTACCCTAAAGAAATTCAGTTGAAGCCAGGTACACACACCTGTAGTCCCAGCTGCTGCAGAGGCTATGGCAGAAATATCTGAGTTTGAGGTCAGCCTGGGTACACATAGACCCCATCTCCTTACGACACCCACAAAAAGTGGAGAGAACTGACACAAGTAAGTGGGGACATCGTTACAATGAAAGATGTCCAGGATGTAGTCTGGATTCTGAGAAGCAGAGGTTAGCCCCTGGAAGACAGGAGAGGAAAGAGTGGGCTTGGGAGGAGAGCTGTCTCAAGAGGCAGAGGTACCTGCTGGGTGGGGTGGGGCAGGCAGGGAAGACTGGGCATGGTAACAGGTAGTGTCCTATTGATTGCATCTCCATTTCTTCTGCAGGAGTTTTTCACAGACAACCTGTGGGGCACACTCCCTTGCTCGTGGCAGAAAGCGCTGGATGGACTGGAGCCACCTGAGCTGGCCTCACAGCTCCTGGGGATGCCTGGAGAAGGGGAGGTGGTCAGGTATGGGGTAGAAAGGCCCTGTTCCAGGGAGCTCAAGGCACTGGGCTCTGCAGAGACACTACCTACTGTTTCCTAAGGTCTCCCTGGGTCCCGATTAGGAACTGGGGAACTCAAGACATGATGCGACTATTCACTGTGGCCTGGGCTGGTTCATCTCAGGTACAGGTCGGTGTGGCCACTCACTCTGCTGGCCCTGAAGTCCACAGCCTACGCCCTGACTTTTACCCGGACACCCAGCTTTCAGACGCCCTCTGAGTTCCTAGAGAACCCCAGCCAGAGCTCCAGACTGACAGCTCCCTTCCGGAAACATGTCAGGCCTAAGAAGCAGCATGAGATCCGCAGGCTGGGAGAGGTGAGGAGATGGCTGGAGTATGAACAGTGACTGGGAACCCAGGAGTTGAACCAGGGGGTTACAAAAATGTGTGCCCTGCACTTCATATACAGAACCAGAGGCCCTAGAAGCTTCTCTTCTCAACAGACACTATAATCCTACCTGGATGCTGGGTAGCTTTTTCTCCATCCTTTTGCTGGATTGATTGGCAACTGTGTCTGAATCATTCTTAGTCCCATTCTTACATCACCATGGTCTGCTTTGGCTTCACAGAGGGCTCTTGTTCTGTAGGGGAGACTGAGTCACTAACGTGAGTGCCCTAAACATGGGCAGGGTATCCACACTCGTCCTCCACTCTGGTTTCCAGACCTTTGTGTCTCTTGTGGCTCCCTCTGTCCATCTTCCTCCACCATCTTTGGCTCCTGTACTCTCATGGATGTTTGCTCCAGGAATGAAGAGCCAGTGGCCAAGAGACCCTTACTCCCTCCTCTTTCAGTTGGTGAAGAAGCTGAGTAACCTCACTGGCTGCACTCAGGTTGTGGATGTGGGTTCGGGCCAGGTGAGCAGACCCCTCCCATACTGTCTTTTTGAGCCATGAGACTAAAACGGCAGGAGGGCAGATATCAGGCCTCAGGCTGAGGGAGGCAGGTTCTGAGAAGTGGCGGAGGGGCTGAGGATTTAGCTCAGCTGCACAGAGCCTGCCTGGCAAGCGCAAGGTCATGAGTTCGATTCCCGGTACCGGAAAAAACAAAACAAAACAAAAAAAGAAGTGGCGGAAACAAGCAGCAAGAATTTCAGTTTCTGTGGCTCCTGGGACCCAGGTGTCCAGGCCACTGATAGGATGGGTAATGTGGACAGAACTCTGAGCAGGAATGACTGTCCTCCCTCTCATGACTTTAGGGACATCTTTCCCGTTTCATGTCTCTGGGGCTGGGGCTGTTGGTGAAGAGCATTGAAGGGGATCAGAGACTGGTGGAGCGAGCACAGCGCTTGGACCAGGAGCTTCTGCAGGCTCTGGAAAAGAAGAGGAACCCACAGGTAGGGCAGCTCCACTGCAGGAGCAGTGACCAATTGGCTTAGTTCCTGCTCTGCTGTTTCTCAGCTTGAGATGGTGTGCTTCCTGTTTCTGCTGCCTCTTCCCGGAGATCCCCTTGCACTAAAGCCTTCCCACACTTCAGAGGCACTTTTGAGTTACAGAATGCTCTCCACACCAGTGTGTTCTTTTCACAGTAGCCTATAAGGCGACCATATGTCATCATAATCATTATTGGCTGGGTGTGGAACAATGAGGCTGAACCAGGAGGGCTGCTACAAGTTTGAGGCCAGCCTGGACTACATAGTTCAAGGCCAGCCTGACCAACATAGCAAGACCCTGTCTCAAAAAACAAACTAAAAATCATTATTGTAGGGGGTGCTGGGGATTGAACCAGCAAATGCTGTATGCTGAGCTACGTCCTTGGTCCTCAGCCAGGCAACAGACACATTATCCAAGAAGAAAATTTGGGGGTGAGGTGTAGCTCAGTGTTAGAGTACTCACCCAGCCCTGAGGCTCTGGGTTTGACCCCCAACACTGCCCAAAGTAATAACAGAGGGGAAGAAAAAAAGGAAAGGATAACTGGGGTCTGAGAGAGGAAAAGATTTGCAAAGTCAACAACAGTGGACCCAGTTTCTCCCATCTCCTGATTATGGGCCAGCGGCTCTCAGTGTCCCAGCCTCTCTCCCTATTCCTCCTTCAGAAGTACAGAGCATAGGTCCCTTCCTGCACCTGAGGTGGCCCAAGGACAGATTTTCTCAGTTTTGTCCTTTCCTGCCTCTACAGGTGGTCCCAAGGGGCCCTCACCATTGCCCCCACCATGTGGTTCAGTGGGTTGACCCTACAACCCTGTGTGAAGAACTTCTGCTTCCCCTGGAGAAGCCACAGCACGGTGGTGGCACTCGCTTGCTGCTGACAGGTCTCCACGCCTGTGGGGACCTGAGTGTCGCCTTGCTGAGGCACTTCTGCTGCTGTCCTGAGGTGGCAGCTCTTGCCTCAGTGGGCTGCTGCTACATGAAGCTCAGTGAGCCTGGTGGCTACCCGCTGAGTCAGTGGGTGGCGGGGCTGCCTGGTTGTGAACTGCCCTACAGGCTCCGGGAGGGGGCCTGCCATGCCCTGGAGGACTATGCTGAGCGGCTGCAGAAAGCTGGCCCAGGCCTCCGAACCCACTGCTACCGTGCAGCGCTGGAAACCGTCATCCGACATGCCCGGCCTGAGCTCCGTCGCCCAGGCGTACAGGGGATCCCCAGGGTCCATGAGCTCAAGATTGAAGAGTGAGGTTGGAGGGGGGATCTCCAACTAGCTGCCTGACTCCCTGCCCACCCATTGTTAGTGTGTCCATAGAAAATCTGTACCTAGAGGAGTGGATTCTCTGATGCGGGCAACCTGTCCAAATGTCTTTGAAAGTTGTTCTTAGCCAGGTGTAGTGCTACACACCTGTGATCCCAGCCACATGGGAGGATGAGGCAGGAAAATCAAAGCCAGTTTGGACAATTTAGTGAGACCCTGCCTGAAAAAGAAATGGGAAGTTAGCTCAGTTTGAGACTCCAGGTTCAATCCCCAGTCCTGCAACAAGAAAGTTCTACCATATCAGGAGACTATCAAAGATACGTGATTATTTTACCTGCAGTGCTGGGACTCAGACCCAGGGCTTCATGCATGCTAGGAAAGCACCCTACAACTAAACTATACCCCAAGCCAAATATAAGGTTTTTAAACATTAAAAATGTGGCCAAGGGGCCAAGGATATAGCTTAGTGGCAAAACGCCTGCTGGGCATGCATAAGGTCATGAGTTTGATTCCTGGTACCAAAAAAAAAAAAAAAAAAAAAAAAGGCCAAATAACTGAGAAAAACTGAAAATAAATTTTTTTGATCACTTTGCCATTAGACAGTTTCCAGCAAGAGAAACCTTTGTGTACCAGGCCAGGCACCGGGGTACATGCCCCCATAGTTCCAGCTATTTGAGAGCTGAGCCAGGAGGATCAGTTGAGCCCAGGAATTTGGGCCACCATGAGTAACATTGTGGTTTACCTATTTGGTTTTTTTTTTTTTTTTTTTTTTTTTCCAGTAATGGGGACTGAACCCAGAACCTTGTCCTGAGGTATATCTGTAGCCCTTTTTTATTTTTTGAGACAAGGTCTTACTAAATTGCCCAGACTGGCATTGAATTTGTGATCCTCTTGCCTCAGCCTCCCAGGTAGCTAGGATTACAGGTATTCCCTCCATTATCATGAGACTGTGACTCTTAAAAAAGTACAGTTCAGCTGGTTGTGGTGCCACATACCTATACTTCCAGCACTCTGGAAGCTGAGGCAGGATTACCATGAGTTCAAGGCCAGCCTGAGCTACATGGTAAGACCCTGTCTCAGAAAACAGAAGGTGTATATTAGAGTAGCAAATCAAGCAAAGTTGGAGTCAAAGTAGAAACAGGCAAAGGTAAAAGTGGGATGTAGAGGTTCCTAAAACTCTACTAAGTGCCATCTGGCTGCCCCTACAGATATGTGCAGCAGGGGCTACAGCGAGTGGGGCTGGACCCCCAGCTGCCGCTGAACCTGGCTGCCCTTCAGGCTCATCAGGCCCAGGAGAACCGGGTGATGGCCTTCTTTAGCCTGGCTCTCCTGCTTGCCCCACTGGTGGAGACACTGATTCTGTTGGACCGGCTGCTTTACCTTCAGGAGCAAGGTGAGGGGAGAGGCTAAAGAGACTTCCTCCTTTAGTCACCAGCCTCACACCCACCAGACCCCATCATCACCTCATGGGGTGGGGGATTTGTTGAGGAATACGGATTTCCTACCACATCAGCCTCTGGTGGTGCTCCCCTCAGGTACTGTAAGCAAGAGTTCAGGCATACAGAACTCGCGTGGCATGAGGACAGCCGCAAGTCAGTGCCTCAGACATCCTCATTCCTTCTGGGGAGTCTGCCTGTGGGGGAAAGTAGTGGTGCCTGCAGCCCAGCAGAAAGTGCTGAGTGAGAGTCTGGCCCATGTGTCCCCTTTCTGATTAGCCCTACCTTTTCTTTCAGGGTTCTATGCTGAGCTCCTGCCCATCTTCAGCCCTGAACTGTCCCCCAGAAACCTGGTTCTGGTGGCCACCAAGATGCCCCTGGGTCAGGCCTTGTCTGCTCTGGAAACTGAAGACAGCTGACACAGCTCAAGGAAGAGGACATCGAAGACCCCATCTGAAACCACTAGGTGTAGGAGGGGCAGAGTGTACCTCCTCACCCAGAAAGCAGCATCCTACACCCTCCCTCTCCTGCCATGTGTTATATAATGCTGTATGAATGTTTCCTTTCAATTTATTAAAACCAGAAGACTTTATTTCCTGTTTCTAAGAAGTTCAGGAAAGGACAGATGCACATCTGCCCTGCAAGTGCAGTTGTCAGATGTCACTGCTTGATGCCCTCTTTACCTGGGGGTGGTACCTTCTGTTACTCAGAGGTCTCCATGGAGGGAATGGCTGTCCTTTTGGTTTCTTTCCATTCCATCCCCAGGAAGGCCACCTTCCATTTAGGTTGTACTACCACAAGGAAACTAGCTCAGGCCCCGGGGGGGTGGCACACTAGGTGCGGTGTCACTAGCAGACAGAAACACACAGGAGGACTCGAAGCACTTTATTAATATCTGAGGAACAGGTCCCTCTACCTTCACAGCTACGACAAGGGAGAAGCTGCTGTTTCAGGCTCAATACCAGTAGACTTTCTTGTGTCTCCTGGTTTCCTGGATCCCCATTGCCTCCATCACCTCTTCCTCCAGTGTCTTTAGACGAGGCACATACGTTCTTTCTAGGGCATCGTCCACAGATGTGTCTTTGGGGCCATCTGTTGAGGTGGAGAAGAGAGATGGCTGGGAGGATTTGCCAACTTATTTTAACACTCTTTCCTTCTCCTCATGCCACCCCTCCCTTTTGCTGCCCCTCACCCAGCCTCACCAATCCATGTTTCAGGGATGATGCCATCAGGTCTAGGAAATTCAGGTTTGGGGATAATTCTTCCTGATCTTGTAGAGACTCGAACTCGCTCTCCTCCCTCAGTGAATCTCCACTCAATCTCAGTGGGTTTCCTGGTAGATGCAAAAAGTGAGCCTGACCTAGATGCAGGACCCACTATCACATCCCATCCCAAAAGTGGAGTAGTGGTTAAAAGCACTAAAGTTACCTACCACCTTACTTCTCTACTTTTGTACTGGAGGTACTCATAAGGAGTCATGTCCAGGAGATGGACCCCTCAATTTCCAGAGCATCCAACTCACCATTCCACTGAAAAAATGGGACTGTCCACTCGTCTCGGGTCAAACCTTCATGGAGTGAGAAGCCCCCTAACCACAGCCCCAGGTGCTTGCCTGTCCATAGGATCCAGAAGTTTGACCTGGTTGTGGAGTAAGGGGGCTTCACTAGGAATCATGGTTCCGGGAGAATCCTTGGTCCTGCCAATGTAGCGGAAATGCTGTCCAAGAGAGGGAGTTATCAGAAAGCAAGGTGTGCGAAGGGGGCTTGCCCTTTGCTGCTTGCCACATTCAGTCCAAGCTGAAGAATAGGCTCACTAGTATAATCACCCTGTGAGCCAGGTTCCTGCCACTTTATGCTGCTCTTAATAGAGAGCGGCACACTGGACAAGCTTCTTGGGCGTCCTCTTCCACTCTCCACTTACTGTGTTCAGCCCCTCCAGGACCACCCAGTTTCGTTGCCGGATGACTTGAACCACTTTGCCCTGTTTCCCAGCATCCTTGCCTTCTAGGATCTCCACCTGTGAGAAGACACAAGGATCAGAGAAGTGGATCCTTGCCTGTGGGAGCCTCCCCATCACTCCATCCTCTTGTCTGAAGCTCTCACCATGTCCCCACAGAACAGGTGCCAATCTTCATCAGAGATGGGTTCCACAACTACTGGACGGCGCCGGACCCCTGGGCGGTTCATCCTCTTATCTCCCAGGGAGCCTGGGCGGTTCATTCCATAGCGGTGGTGGGGAGGCAGTGTGACCTTGGAGGCCAAGGCCAGCAGGGCAGAAAGACGCATAGCTGGAGGCTGTGAGAAATCTCACCAGTGATACTCAGAAGCTTTCCTTGTCAGCTCTGGGAGAGAGAAGCAAGGAGACTAAGAGCAAGGGAAGGCGCTTTTGTATTTCTTATTTCTGGGAATCAAGTTCATGGCCTTGCACTGAGCTATATCCTTGCTCTTTTTATGTTTGAGACATGATGTCATCAAGCTGCTCAGGCTGGCCTTCAACTTGTGATTGCCTACCTAACCTCCTGGACAGCTGGGGTTCCAGATGTTTGCCACTATACTGGCAAGAACTTTTTAACGACTTACCAGGCCAGTTACTTAAATACAAAATGACCAAAAATTGCATATTTTAAAATTTTTTATAAGATAACAAGAAATATAAAACTGACAATTATATCGAATTTATTCAGTGCAAGAATGGACTGGTTGAAATGATACCTGCCCAAGTGAGACACTTAGCATAGTCAAGTACATAAACATGCTGCCTGAGTGACACTCAGGGTAAACTCTTAAGTGGTTAAAGCACTTACTCTGTCTTAGTGGCCTCTTCTCTTTGAACCTCACGAGATTATACTACTTTCACGTTATACATGAGGAATTCATGCCCATGGTTGTAACACTATCATGTGTGGGAAATCAGCATTTAAATCTACATATATCTGACTTCAAAATCCAAAATATTCATTGAGTTTAGGGGCCATGGTATCTCTCTTCTCACTCCTGAATTCATTAGATCCCAGTAGAATTTGGCACACAGTAGGTACTTGAGAGTTATTTTTAAAAATTTAATTATTTAATTATTTATTTTTCCTGGTACTGGGAATCGAACTCACGACCTTGCGCTTGCCAGGCAGGCACTGTGCCGCTGAGCTAAATCCCCAGCCCCCACTTGAGAGTTGTTAAATGAGGATATAGCAGGATAGCAAGGAAATAGGCAATGGAACATAAACACCAGCATGGGGCCCAAAGGCAGGCAGTCCTAGAGCAAAATGAACACAGGTAGCCAGGATTATAAAAACTGGAGTTAAAATGTCCAAATCCCATACACAGGAAACAACCACTCCTCCCTATGCTGCTTTTCTATGGGAAAAAGACCTAGAACTAGACTTTAAGGTTATTCTGTCCTAAATTTCCCAATTAAGTATATGCTGTAAGCCTCCCAATTTTTTTCTTTTTTTGGAAACAGGTTCAAACTTCTGGTGACCCTCCTGCCTCAGCCTTTTGGAGTGTTGGATTACAGGCTTGGGCCACCGTGCCCAGCAGTTCCCAATTTTGGACAATGGAATGAATGAAGAGGGTAGTAAAAACTGGCAAAGATAAAATTAGTTTCAGTTTACTGAGAACTTATTACCTGCCAGGTGCCATCTAAATGCCTGGCCAGGTATAGCAGTGCAAGACTGTAATCCCAGCACTCTGAAGGCTGAGGCAGAAAGATCGATGCAAGTTCAAGGCCAGTTTGGAGTACACAGTGAGTTCAAAACCAACCTAAACTATGTGGTGAGATCCTGTCTCAAAACCAAAACAAAACAAAAAGCTTTTCTGTATCATCTCATTTAATCCTATTGACAAAGGATGAAGTTACCACTAACCTTGTTTTATAAATAAGGATGACCCTGCCTTCAACAGATGAACAAAGTGCACTATAATGGCACAGAGTCCAGGACTGGGGAGTCAGACCACCTGACTCCCTGCTGTAATCTGGTCTAGTCCCTACGCTGTCATTATCTTACAATTAACTTCTGAGCTTCACTTTCACCACCCATAACTCTGCTGGTATCATTTAAATCAATTTAAAAGTGTTAACAGTGCAAGGTATACAATAACATGAATAGTATTACCCTTTGGGGATAAAAATATTTTGACAGTCATATTTAGGGGAAGGAAACAAGAAACTAAAGCCCTTGTTCTGCAGGAGAGGGACTGTTTCCCTAAGTACTCCCACTCACATTCAACAAATGACTGCAAAACACTACTGTGTTTTGGTCTTCACTTTGCCCAGGAAGGCAGATGGTCAGGTCCAAGTACCATGAGGTCCTTTTTATACACAAGAAAACCAAAGCCCTGGAGCAGGGCGTGGTGGCGCACGCCTATAATCCCAGCACTCAGGAGGCTCAGGCAGGAGGATCATTGGGAGTTCGAGGCCAGCCTGAACTGCATAGTGAGACCCTGCCTTAAAAGACCAAAAAAACAAAAACAAACAAACAAAAAAAAAACAAAAAACCAAGGCCCTGAAAGCTGATACGACTTGCCCTGCGTCAGTGCTTGGTAGGAGTGGGGCCAATCTTTAAACCCAAGCCACTTGCGTGTATGCTGCAAGGAGACCCTTAACCCCAAGTCATTCTAGGTCTGTGGCTCAGGAAGGCGAACCCAGGAGCCAGCCCAGCCCAGGGCAGCTTCACGCCGCCTTACACCTTTCCCTTCTGCTTTCTCCACAATCTAGAGAGGCCGGCGTCCCTTCTGCAGTGGGACTTTCACTGCATGGTCTAGATGCGCCCTGGACTGCTATTGGCGTGGAACGTCTTTCCCTCAGGTCACGGCTCCAAAAGCTTCGCCCGCCAGCCTCCTCCAGGGTGCGCACCCGGCTCCCAGACATCACCCAGCTTTCTTCACCCACCCGCTCCAACTTTCTGGTGCCCAGAAACCCAACGGAGACAACTGACCCACAGACAGAGAAAAACGAGGCCCTTCCTGCCTCGGCTTGCCAACGAATCCCGGAGCTGTAGTATCTGTAAATGGAGCGGCCCTTAAGTCCCCCTCTGCAGTTCGGTAGGGCCTCCGCCTATCACCTTGCACATGGGTCCTCAACCCGCCCACTGAGCTTCTGGGAAATGTAGTCCAATTGCAAGGCGGAAATTCAGTCCCCAGGCTGGCTCCTCAGCATGCTGGGAGTTGGTGGAAACAGGAAGTTTGGTGGGAAATAGGCGAGCAAGAGAGCGTAAGAACGCAGTGAGCTATGTCGGGAACCGAAGGCGAAGCGGGATAGGCTGACGCGCCTGGCACATTCTGCGCATGCTCTGCGCGGAGGCCCATGGGAATTGTTGTTCGTAAGAGGGGATGGCTCCATTTTCTAGGTGGTTGTGAGACTGTTCCCTGGAAAGAGCCACCTTTCTGGGTGAGATTGCAGACGTTTCTGCCTTCCCCTTTTCTGCTGGATGGGGCCAGGGCAGATTTAAAAACCACCATCGGCTTTCTAGAGGAAGGGATGAGAGGTAGGCCCTTCCAGGGCCAATAGTCCAATCACAAAATGTCAGAATTGGAAGAAGTTTGAGATGATCAACTCGTGTTTCAAGTAACCTGGAGAATACTGAGAGGACCCCACCCTATCAACATATCCCCCCACCTCCAGCACCACCACCAGGAAGGGTGACAGGTATAGCTCTTGTGCCTCAATACCTCATCACTTAAGTGGCCTTCCGAGCAGCCAGCAGTCGGACTAGGGTCTGGTAGCAGCAGCATTAGCAGAGAAAGGGTTATCCTCTCTGATCTTTGGCCTGCCTTGGGAGCCCCTGGGAGTCAAAGGGGTTTCTATAGCCATCCCAAATAACCACTTCATGACTAGCTAGCCTATGGTTGTGGCAGATACTGGTACCTTCTTCCCACACCCCATTTCTTCTTTTTTTTTTTTTTTTGTTTGTTGTTTTTTTCTGGTACCAGGAATCGAACTCATGACCTCACGCTTGTGAGGCAAGCGCTGTGCCGCTGAGCTAAATCCCCAGCCCCCCCACACCCCATTTCTTCTCCAATTTTTTGGGGGGCGGGTAGTACTGAGGATTAAACTCTGGGCCTTTGCACTCTGCTACATTCTGACACTGCCCCTCCCCCATTTTTTCTTTTTTAACCCAGAATTGCTAAATTGCCAAAGCTAGGCTCAAACTTTTGTGATCTTCCTGCCTCAGCCTTTTAGAATGGTAGAATTTCAGGTGTGTACCACCACACCCAACCTTTTTTTAAAAACCCCTCACAGACCTCATGGGGGAAGAAGGTGTGTTAAACAGTGTGCAGACGAGGCAGAATGGATGGTATGGTTTATTCTAAGACTGCTCTCATTTACAGTTTTAGATTTCTAACGACCTGGGAATGGGGCAGACTGACACTTCAGCCTCAATCTGAGGTGATTAGGAAATCATTTGTATTCCCTTCTTCCACTTCCCTTCTTCAGTTAACCAATGTCCCCAAAGAATCAGTCAGAATCCAATATAGTAATCAACAGGTTTTATTTTCCTAGAACTGAATTCATCTATGGTTCTCAGAGCTAAACTTCCAAAGCTACAGTCAGCAATTTTTCATCAGAGCCCAAGGGAGAGGGGCAAGGATAAGAGACAGAGATGGAGCGGTGAGAAACCACTAGGAAGAGGCTGGGAGAGGGCACTCACTCTCTGTCCTCTCAGTGAGTTACAAACCAGATCTGGTGAAAACACCACGGGACCAGGGAGGGGTATGTGGATAGGAAGTGACACCAGAAGAAACACCGAAGCCCCAGCTACAAAAAGTCATCAAGCCCCACACAGAAGGGGAGCCTCCCAGTGCACCTCAGAAATGGGGGCAACATGGAGAAGGAGCAGAATAGGGAGCACACAAAGGGTAGGGGGCTTTAAAATTTTTTTTGTAATTTTCTTTTATTAAAAACATTTCCTAAAAAATGTATCTTTTCCTTTATGTCTGGGTGGTATATGTAACTAGGCTGGCCTCGAGTACTGTGGGAAAAGGGGACAGGGCAGGCAGGAGTTCCCCCAGGGTATCCCATCTCTGCCCCAGAGAGCTAAAGGGGGCAGATGGCTCAACACTCCTACCCATATGGGTAGAGCTGACCCTTCAGATCTCAAGTCTTTGGCCCAAACAACTTGAAAGCCCCAAATTCTTTTGATGATAAACTACAACTGCCAGAACCCCTGGAGCATCAGCAAAAGAACAGGTATTGTCAATCATCGAGGATTTATGAAACGGAGCCCTCCCCCACAGGCTGTCCCACTTTCCCTGAATCTGGGCAGCTGGGAAAAGAGGTGTGGGACTGGGGAACAGGAGGTCAGGACAATGCCTTCTTGCTCCCCCAACACCCCCAGCCTGAAGCCCACCCTATTTATGCTCCACTCCTTCTGCTCCTACCCAACACCACCAGAATCCCTACACGAGGGGAGGAGGGGGGTCAGGTGGGAAAAGCCAGCCCCGGACCACACAGAAGCCCTAGGAAACAGCTTCAAGCAGCATGGGACACAATAGCCTTGTCTCATCCCAGGGAGCTGAGTACATGGCCCTGACTCAGGTCACAGGTGTCGGGGACCCGGAAGTGAGCGCCAGATCAATCTCCAGGGGGTGGGCTTGCAGTGGGGGAAATGAGTGGAGGAGAGTGGGTTGTGTGGAAAAAAGGGTTCCCAGTTTGCAGGCCATGGCCAGTTTCCCCAGTAGCACCCAGACAGCAGCAGGAACGGGGCGGGGCTCCTCTTGAAACACTGGTGGCTACAGGCTGCAGGATGGTTGAAAGGAGAAGGGTTACTCAAATGACCAAGGCTGGCCTCCGGGAAAGCCCGCCCGCCTCCCGAGAAGGTGACCACAACAGGCCTTCTCTCCAAAGGTGGCTGCTGCCAAGAAGGAGCACTCACCTCTCACGATCTCTGATGCCCGGGGCCTCAGCATCCTCCTTGGGAGCCTCTTCCTCCTCCTCCTCTTCCTCAGGAGGAAGGCCCCGGCCGGAGCTGGGCTCAGAGGGGGTGCTGTTTTTCTCCCCCTCTGTGGGGACAGGCCTCTCACTCTCCAAGGTGGCTGCCTCCTTCTCCTCCCCTTCTGGATCTTCTGCCTCCTTTGGACGTTTAGGGGAGGAGTCCTAGGCAGGAGTGGCAGAGATAAGATGGGCTGAGACTACAGAAGGTAGGCACCAGGCGCCTATTTGTACCCCCACCCCAAGCTCCTCTTTCCTGGGCTTATTACAGCCAGTCAGTTCTTCTGCAGCCCCCTCATTTTTTTTTTTCTGAGACAGGGTCTCATTACCTAGGTCAAGCTGCCCTTGAACTCAGTGATCCTCCTGCCTCAGCCTTCTAAGTGCTGGGATTACAGGTATGCGCCACCACACCCAATCCACAGCCCCCTCTTAACTGCAATGCTTTCTTCTATACGTCTCTTCAGCTCTCAAAGACTGGAGACACCTCTCAGCTCGAGGGCTCCCTGAGGCAGAGCCCTGCTGCTGCAGGGGACCCTATCAATGCTTGGGGAGTCCTTACCTCCAGCAGGTCTCCTGCCCTCCTCTTCAGTGCCCCCTTCTCGTTCTTCTCCTTGGCTGGCTCATCGATGACCAGCTTCCCCTCCTCATCACTGCTGCCCTCCGCGTTTCCTTTCTTGTCACTGTCACCCTCTCTGGCTTCAGGCTCTGGCTCCGGCTCCTCTGAGCAGCTCTTTTTCTGAGAGGACTGTGGCAGAGATGGCAGAGGCTGAGTGGCACCAGCAGCTGCCATGCCGGGCCCCTCCCCCAATCCCCCCTCACTCACTCCTTCTTTTTCCCACCTCACCCCCACCCCCACCCCGGTGCCCAGTCTCACAAGTGATTTGAGACCCACCTCTGTCGGATTAGCCCCCGGGTAAACCCACTGGCCGGGCAGGCAGGGCTCTGTGCAGGAGGGGGGAGGGCTGGAGCAGGAGGCAAAACCTCGGGTCAACTTCTCCCAGAGGGAGCTGGGACCCTTTCCCCGCCAACCCCGCCCCCCACCCTCCCGCCTCATCCTGCCCGGCTCATGAGCACCTCCTCCTGGAAGCCTTCATGGGAGGAGGAAGGCCATGTCCTGCACTCACATTGGGCCCAAAAGGCCTGTCTCTACTTACCACTGCCATCTAATGTGGCCCTAACCACAGCTATAAACAGGGGAAACCCCATCCCCTCTTACAGGAAGCCCCTCCCCACACCCCAAAAGCCCTGATGCTCCAAGGGCTAAGCATCACCTGGAGGCCAGGGCTCCCGGAGCCCATGGCCATACTTGCTGTCCAGGGGCCTCTGGGGCACACGGCAGCTCACCTGGTAGCCGGAAGCCTTGACAGTAGGGTTGTTCTCGATCTCCCACAGCCCCTCGCTGAACCCTTTCCTCTTGTTAGGCTTGCCAAACTTCTCCTTGGACTCCTCGTAAGGGAAGAGGTCTTTGGGGCCCAGGAATGCCCTGGTGAGAGATGGGAGACTGTGCTCTCGAGCCCCTTGCTGCCCCTGGGCTGCACAGCCCAATACAGAGGGGCCACTGTCACCACCTCACCCCACAGAGGTCCTCCCGGGGCCCTCCCAGTCAGCACCTCACTGCCCCTCACTCACGTCTCGTGGGTCCCGAAGAAAAAGACTTGATATTTGTTGGCTGTGGATTTCACGGCAGCCTCAGGCATCTCATCAATCTGGGGTGAGATGAGGGAAGTGGGCATGAACCAGAGTTCTCAGGGCTTCAGTCAGAGGCAAAAGCACAGACCTCGAAAGCAGACAGCAGGTGCCCAGAGACCACCAGACTGGGTGGTGAACCCTTTTTAACATTGAACTTTGTTCAAATTAAGTCAGACATGAGTCGGGCGTGGTGGCGCACGCCTGTAATCCCAGCACTCAGGAGGCTGAGGCAGGAGGATCGTTGTGAGTTCGAGACCAGCCTGAGCTACAAAGTGAACTCAAGGCCAGCCTAAACTGCATAGCGAGACCCTGTCTCAAAAAGACAATAAATAAATAAGTCAGACATGAAACCTGAAGTCTTCTCCCTTGCTTTCAAAGCCAGACAAGCACCTTTCTCAGGATGTCCAGGCACCAGCCACATTTTTTGTTTGTTTTCTGAGACAAGGGCTTGCTACGGTATAGCCCAGGCTGGCCCCAAACTTGCAATCCTCCTGACTCAGCACTGACCAGAATAAAACCACAGCTCCAACTTCTTCTCTTTTTTCTCTTCTGCCCTACTACAATTTCCAAATGCTGATCCATACATTTCATGCCCTTTCAACCCCTCATGAGCACCTGGTCTATCTCTTCCCCACAACAGCAGGGTCTGAGTTTCCTCTGCCACCCTCAATTGTTAACCAGACAGCTTACTTTGCTTCCTCATTTGTAGAATAGAGGTGGCCTCTACATTTAGACCCCAACAGCATGGAGCTTATCCTACAAGCATGTGTGATCACTAAGCTGTCCCATGATGCCACTCTCCATTCTAGCCTCCCTGCCCCTTTGCATTTCTCAGCACCTGTAACTCCCTTTTTTTTTTTGCGGTACTGGGGATCGAACTCACAACCTTGCAATTGCCAGGCAGGCACTTACACCACTGAGCTATAACCCCAGCCCCTCAGCTGCTATAACTCCTGATCAGCCTCACAGCCTCCACTCTACCATCACTTCCTCCAGAATGAGTCCCCGCTTCCTGGCCTGGCCAGACCCCCAGGGAAACCTCTCTCCGGTCACCTTTCCCTCAGTTCCAATTTGACACTGATTTTTAATACTTGGTGGATGTTTGCGTGGACTACCGGGCTCTTACCCCCCCTCAAGGTCAGAGACCAAGCCTGCCTTTGTCTACAGCACACAATAGGTACACAATAAGTATTTGCAGAATGAACTTGTGAAACAGAGCAGACTAATCTGACTAAAGTGCAGGGATGAGGCTAAAGGGCTGCCTATTCAACATCAGCTCTAATAGCAGCCCCCAAAGCTTCTGAGAACACTTTGAAAAACACCAAAGTAGTCAAACTCTCTTGTTTTACAGATGAGGAAACTGAGACCAGAAAAGAAGTGATCTGACCAAAACAAAAGGGCAAGTTAGCAGGGGCCAGGTCTCGAGTAGAACTCCTGACTTCATCCCTTGCCAGGAGTCCTGGCCCAAGACCAGGGCTGTGGTGCAAATAGTGGGAGATGCAGAGGTCTGAGGTCAGGGAAAGGGAGGGCCAGTGGCCTAGTCAGCCCCTCCCAGATCAAGGCCTGGAAGCCAAGGTCAGGCTGCGCTGGGGGTGGGACTACAACTCCCAGCAACACTTGCAGCAGCCCCAGCAGCTTGGCTTCCAGCCGATGAGGCCAGGTGGCCATGTTGACTGGGGCTCCAGACAGAGACAGAGACAGACAGGCCAGGGCAGTGATTACAAGGAAAGAGACAGGGACAGAGGACCCGACTGGAGGTCTGGGGAGACAGAGAGGCTGAGTGGATGAGAATGAGCCCAGACACACCCAGGAACGGGGTGAGGCCCAGGCATGAATTCCAGGGGGATCTCTTCCCAGACTTGGGAGTCTCCAGGCTTTGGGCACCTCCCCGTTGCCCCCGTGGCCTCTGGGGACAGAGGTCCAGCCCCTCCCCCCAGGAAGACCCAGCACAAACTGGGCCCTCCCCACTACCAGGAGTCTGCTGGGGTGTGAGAGCAGGGGGTGGAAAGGCATGCAGCTCCCCCCACAAACAAGATCCTGGTTGTCATGACAACCCAACCCCGCCTCCAGGGCCACTCAGCAACTAGGAATGTGACCGCCCCTCCCCCAAGGCCCTCTATCTGGATTGGGGAGGAAGGGACACTAACACCCCAACCCCCAAGCTTGGAGTCTAGCACCTGGGTCCCCAGAAGTGCTGGAAACAGCTAGGGCTGGCGCACTGGTTGGGGGGGGATGTGCTCTCACAAAGCCAGCCCTTGGGGGAGGGGGGTAGAGGCTGGACAGGGCACCTGGTGCCTGTCACAGCTAGCTCCCAGCCCTCCTCTCAGAGGGGTAAGCAAAAACAAAATGAGGGCCTCCAGGGCTTAGAGATCCCAGGAGACAGGGATGGGACAATAATAGCTTAGGTCCTTCCTAGGCCTCCTGGATCTGCCCTAGCAGAGCCCAGCAGGGGTGGGGGCAAAAGGGCCTATGGCTGAGAGTGCAGTGAGGAACTTTGATCTTGGCATTCTCCGTGCCCACACCTGGGCCAGGGCATTAACATGTTCAGAGTAAATGTGAGATGAAAGAGAAACTGAGGCTCAGGAAGGGAATGGGGTGGGGGAAGGGTCAGAAATGAGACAGGTTTTCTGCAGGAAGGCTGACTGCAAAGCACCTGACTGCCCACCTTTCCACAGAATGCGTTAAGAGACAGGCAACTGAGCCTGAATGGTGGGGCACAGGACCTAGGAGGCCAGCAGCTGCCCAGCCCCAGGGGCAGGGAGAAATAAAAGAACGATGGGATTAAAAATAGAATGAGACACACCAGATACACCCGCCTTGCTGACTTCAGGCTACAGAAAGGATGGGCTAAGAGATAAGGGGCAGAGGATAGGGCAAGGACAGATAGGGATCTTTGAAAAAAGGGTCCTTCTACTTTCCCACCCAGACCTGGGGGAAGGGTGAAAGAGTGCTCCAACCTTTAGTACTGTGGGTTAAACCCAGGTCATTCCCACTTAGCTAAATCCCCAGCCCTTATTATTTCTTCTTAAAAAAATTTTTTTTTTAGGGTCTTGCTGGCCTTGAACTCACTATGTAGCCCAGGTTGGTCTTGAACTCAAGGTGATCCTCCTGCCTCAGCCTCGGGTGCTGGAATTACAGGCATTTGTCACCACACCCAGGCTTTTAAATTTATTTTGAGACAGGATCTCACTAAATTGCCAGACTTGGCTCCAACTTGCAATCAGAAGGATCTCCTCCAGTGGTGGGTTTATAAGCATGTGCAACCTAGCCTGGCCCTCTTTTTTCTTTTTTAAAAATTTTTTTATTTTTTTGTCTTTTTGAGACAGGGTCTCGCTATGCAGTTCAGGCTGGCCTTGAGCTCACTTTGTAGCCCAGGCTGGTCTCCAACTCGCAACAATCCTCCTATCTCAGTCTCTTGAGTGCCGGGATTACAGGCATGTACCACCATTCCCAGCCCTCTTTTCTTTTCTTTTTTTTTTGGTTTTTTGGTTTTTTTTCTCCGGTACCGGGAACCGAACTCACGACCTTGCGCTTGCCAGGCAGGCGCTTTTGCCGCTGAGCTAAATCCCCAGCACCCCCTCTTTTCTTTTAATGGGATTCCAACCACTCAAAAAGAGGAAGAGGGCTGTGGGTACAGCTCACAAGGTTTGTAAGGCCCTTGGGTCAATCCCCAACATTAGAAAGAGGTGTGGGGGAAAGTGATCCCCTCTGTAGGAGCACCTCCACTCCTGAAGCTTAAAGGAAATGTCTTTTCTCATACTTTGGAAGCAAAGGGTGGTTCTTCCTAGACAGGGAGAATATAAGGTGTCAGGGGAGCCCTAAACCCTAGTAGACATCTAACTTCCAGTTGGTGCCTTCACATCCAGGCTGTGATTCAGAACCAGTGAGTTAATGTTATGTGGGTCACAGTGGGACCCAGATGCAGGAGAGCCCACTGTAGCCCCTCTACCAGCTAACAGGAGAGGTGGCTCTCCGACCTCTTGGCCCTTGTAGGGATCCAGGCAGGTTTCTTCTTAGGCCCAGGCCCAGCTGCCTGAACACCCTCCTCTGCATATGAATGACACCCCATCCTGCAAGTCCTCCGAGATCTGCAGAGGGACCTGAAGTGTGCATATGTGAGGTGAGAGGGACTGAACTCTGCTCCCCTGGCCTCAGGCCACAAGCAGACCAGGGTCACTTCCCCAGCACTTGGGAAGGTAGAGGGAATGCTGAGCACATGCTGGCTGCCATCGGGTTCTGACCACCACACCCAGGGCTGGGCCGACCTGACCCAGGAACCGGAAAATCCAGGGCAGCAGGCGGTTAGACAGTTGGGGGCCGGGAACTGTGGCAATCCTAAGGGGTAGAGAAGAGAAGCAGGAAGGACAACGGAGGAAAGACAGTGAGGAAAGGCCTTGGGCTGCTCAGGACCTTTTCTGGGATTGTGAAACAGGAAAGAGTGAGAGGAGGAAGGAAGTGGGGGTGGTGGTGGTCCCTGAGTCTTTAAGTTTAACTGTTAAGTGCTTGGAGATGCCCCAGGAAGTTGGGCAGAAGGAGGAAGAGGAAAAGAAGGTTAAGATGGAGTCACACCATCTTTCCAGCCAGGTCCTCTGACCACGTGGCCCTTCAGGCTGTGCTCTCAAGCACTGCGTCCTTCCAGAATCACCTATGCTCCCCCGCAGCAGGGACCAAGGGAGGCAAGGTCCACAAGGTGGCCTGCATTGTGGCTGAGGATTCAGCCTACCCAGAGGGGTGCCCCTACTCCTCACCCATGTCACATGGGGCTGGGCCTCTCAGGCTGTGGCACTCAGGACTGAGAGCAGCCTAAGGAATGGTGAAGAGACTCAGCTTTGTTCCCTGCGGGTCCCAGGAGGAGGTGTCTGGGAAGTAACAGCCTTGAGTGCACCCCTCTTGCCAACTACCTTAGTCAAGAGACAGTAAGGAAAAGTGTAGGGCTTTATCTTGTTGAAATTCAAGCCTGACCTCCCCACCCCAACTCTAACTTTATCTAAAAGCTCCAGGCCTCAACTGAAGAGACTCTGCCTCCCCTCCTGTCCAGAAAGCCTCAAGGTGAAGAGAAGAAACACAGGGCACCCCAGGAGTCAGGCACTGCCTTCAATTAACAAGTCATCAAAAACCCCAGCGTCTTCCTGACAGTGATCACTCTGGTGTCTCTACCCTTTTCCTTTCTTCCCGACCCAGAACAGGTTCTCTGCAACCCTCATTCCTGCCAACACCTCCTCCCCATGGTTCAGCCCAGCCTCTGGACTTTGTCTCACCTCTGGAGGGAGAAGCGGTAGAGGTCCGAGCTCAGCTCTTGCCCTGCCCACCAGGGCCTTAGCATCGCGGCCAAGACGCCAGTTGCACCAAAAGGTACAGGGTAAAGTACAGGAGCGTTCATATGCCGCACATACATGCACATACGCAATGCTGCTTCCTCAGGCCCTCAGGAGCCCTGCTCCCTACACTTCTTACTTGATCCATATGAAAATTCCAGCGACAGAGGAACTCAAGGCATATGAGTTCAGGAACACATGAGTTCAGGAACACACCGCTCCCCAATAGGGAAAGAGTTGAGAAGAGTCTCTGGGATTTTTCTTACAGTGGCCAAGCAGGCCTGCCTAGGACCAAGGTGGGCCAGGGCAATTTCCTAGGCTTTCCTAGGCACAAGGCAGTGTTAGGCCAGATGAACAGCAGCAGCCTTACCCTGCAACCCAAAACCACGAGGCAGCCCTTTGCGCCTGCCCCTCCCTCCACCCCTTTCTACCCTTAGCTTTCCATCTACAGGAGTCCTACACTCCAGGGGGCTGAGTCATGCCTCTCCCAACACCAAAGGCCCCCTCTACACCAACTTTAGAGCAAGTGGCCAGAGGCACTGCTCCCTGAGACCTTTAGTCTACTCCACCAACCACACCACCACCCCTTTCCTAACCTATCTAGTCTTTGGGGAAAGCTGATGAACAACCAGCTCAGTGCCTGGGCCCCTCCCTCCCACCTGGCCAGGTGCTAAAGGACCTTCTGTTGGCGGGCTCAGCTCACCACATGGTGAGCCGAGAACGTTCTGGCGAGAGATACTGGGGGAGGGCCCTCAACTCGGGCTCCGCCACCCCCACTAAAGTGGTCTAGAGCAGGTTCCCACCCCCACGTGAAGCCCTGAGGTCCTCGGTGCCACTTTTGAGCGGCAGCATAAGGAGGACATTTTTGTGAAACTGAGGGAGACAGGTACTGGCACATAGTTTCCAGAACTGGTAGATCCCCTCTTCCACCACTCCAACCTCCTCCTCGACCCTCCCAACTTCAGACCTCGAACAGACGCCCCAAACCAAAGTTTTCTAGAAGCGCCCCGCCTCCACCCAGCCCTATGTGGGCTGGGATCCTTCGTAACCATTTGCCCAGGAAAAGGAGAGTCTAAAGTATGGGATGACGATCACTGGAGAAACTGGGGACCTCAAGGGGGGACCCGTGGCGCGGTGGGAGGAGTTACGCGGCCGGCCCGAACCAGTACCGCGCGCCCCGAGCCGCAACGAGAGTGGGGGTTGGGGGCGGCACCGAGCGCGGAGCCGGCCGGGGGGGATCCGCGCCTGGAGTCCGCGCAGCGCACGCGCCCGCCAGGTGCGCCCCCCGCCACCGCCACCGTTATGTAACCGGCTGGTGGGCTTAGGGCGGCGGGGAGCCGGGACCCCAGTGCCCTCCGCCCGCTCGCCAGTCCGCCCGCCAGTCCGCCCTGGCCCCCGGGCGTTACGCAACCCCAGCCTGTGGGGCCGGGGTGCGGGCCGCGCTGCTCACCCGGGCTGGCCAGTGCGGGTAGCCCTTCATCTTGGCGAACACCAGGTCCCCGCATTTGTACTCCTTCTGCCGATTGGATCTCGACATGGCGGGGCTCCGGGCGCCCCGGGCTCCGCGCCGGGCCGGGAAGCGTGAGCCTAAGTTTGAGCGGGCGGCGGTAGCGGTGGCGGCGCCGCTCCGCTCC